GGAGTGGTGGAGGCAGGAGTAGCATTTATCAGAGGAAACAGTTTGAAAACATTTCTTGGTTTCCACTCTTTCCTAAGAGTTTATTATATGTAATATGTGCTATAGGAAGTTTTACTCCCTCTATTTAGCCACTATATCTCATTCAAATGGAAGGGGATCATTTGGGAAATTTCCCTGGTACATTATGTGGCATTAGAGGCTTCATCTGTGTGTGTTAAGTTCCAGGGTTCATTTTTCACATTTAAGCCACATTACTATCTAATTGCCACTTCTATTATTTTTCTGATAAGGGAGGAAAAAAAGAATATACACACTTAGTTGGCCCCTCAGTTTGGGAAATATGAGTGATAATTCTCAGGATTTGTCAACTCACTAGTATAGTATCCAGGGACTGGGCTGTATTAAGTTGCTAAGTCATGCTGTGCCTCTTCCCTCTAAAATCTTCAGTTTCTTTCCTTGGCCACCGTTTTTGAAGTTATTGTATCTAACTGCATTATTTTTTTATTGTTTTCTCTTGGTGAATGTTTTTGTAAGTTATTATTTTATAGACATTTTAAGGGAAGAGAAATTCTATGAGTTACGTTCAATCTACCATTTTAATTTGGATATACTCAGAGTTTTCTAAGACTAAAGGTTAAACTTGGATATCTAATTAAGAATTTTCTAAGAAAAAAAAAAAAAGAATTTTCTAACTCCATGAGCATTGGACTGCCTGACTGCTTATAAAGGTACCAGAGTTATTGATAGTCTATTTTTCACACTACCTGAGTCCTAATTTTCACTGTCCCAACAACTCTACGTTTTAAGGATCCAGTATTTTCCTGATCAGCTCACCTAAGTTACTAAATCAGTTAAGGCTGATTATTCTATGTATTACTTTATGTATATGAGAAAAAAAAAATTGGACTCAAAATAAGGAAAAGACCTGTCATGTGACTTGTCTATTGTGCTTGATGTGAAAAACCTGCTAAACCAAGTTGAAAGGAATAAAACTAATTAATTTACAGGGATATAAGGACGTATCTTCTTGAAAATCTTTTAAGAAAGAGGTATGAGGATACTTGCATGAACTGTTTGGAATTGGGGGTGGGGCAGGGGATGGGATGTAAACATTTTCTAAAGACTCCTATCAAAACCATGAAGGTTCAGAAAGAACCTTCTGATTTCTATCACAAGGGAATTTCTTTGACTGTCATTGACAAGTTTTCCAATAAGCAATAATAGGAAATAAAACTTGAGGACTTAAAATTAATATGGTTTCACAAGATTTTGTGAACAGAGGGGTGTCTATTTTTAATTATAAATGGGAAACTAGGGGCACCTGGGTGGCTCAGTGGGTTAAGGCCTCTGCCTTGGGCTCAGGTCATGATCCCAAGGTACTGGGATCGAGCCCCGCATCGGGCTCTCTGCTCAGCAGGGAGTCTGCTTCCCTTCCTCTTTCTCTGCCTGTCTCTCTGCCTACTTGTGATCTCTGTCTGTCAAATAAATAAATAAAATCTTTTAAATAAATAAATAAATAGGAAACTAAAATCTAAGAAAAGTTAATTTGTCCCATATAATAATTACATGAATACTTCACAATTACCATCTACAACATCAAAATTCTAAGTTCCTTAATATTTTCTATTTTTGAAGTGCTCTTTCCAAGATACTATTTCAACTACAGATCATATATTCTTTCCCTGACTTTAAAAACCATATGCAAAAAGAGCAAAAGTAACCAGATAATAAGACAAAAAGCTATTAAACTACTTTTCCATAGTTACTTCATAGTAAATATTAGTAACATTTTTTTTGTTATTCCAACAAAATACTTTAGCTGGCTATGGTTCCACTGTATACCTGGCTAAACCAATTATTTTCACACTTTGCTTTTATAAAGACCACTATACAGCAAAATACAATCATAAACACCAATTCCTTCCTCTCTCTATTGCCATTTAGTGTCAGAGCCAAGTAGACTAAGCCTATTAAGTAACGGAAGCAATGTAAATTTAATCTCATTAGTATTTAACCATGGCTTTGCACACTGGCATAAAACATTTCATAGTAGTTATGAGATCTTAGATAAGGTATTTTCTCAGGCTTTTGAGACTGTATTAGATAATCTCTCTTCTACTTCCCAAAACTTTATAAATTTGTCTGTACATTTTATAGTAATTAGCTGACTCTTAGCAGTTTCTAAAAAAAATAATAAAAACGTTCTCATTCTTCATATAGACATTATCATTTTGATTTTCTTAATTCTAACAAAATATCCCAATGATCTTTTCTTAATTTAAATTCAATGAATTAATATATAGTGTACTATTAGTTTCAGAGGTAAAGTTCAGTGATCCATCAGTTGCATATAACACCCAGTGCTCATACATCATGTGCCCCCCTTAATGCCCATCACCCCATTACCCTATTCTTCCATCCCCCTCTCCCCCAGCAAACCTGTTTTTTCCCTATGGTTAAGAGTCTCTTATGGTTTGTATCCCTCTCTGATTATGTCTTGCTTTACTTTCCCACCCCCTCCTCTATGCTCTTCTGTTTTGTTTCTTAAATTCCACACATGAGCGAAATCATGTAATTGTCTTTCTCTGATTGATTTATTTCACTTAGTATAATACCCTCTAGTTCAAACTATGAAAAGAGCACTGATGTCCATCGACAGATAAATGGATAAAGAAGACATAGTATATATATGTATGCATATATAAATATGAATATTTATATACATATATAAAAGTGCTCAGCCACAAGAAAAAAATGAAACCTTGCAATTTGCAACAACATGGATGGAACTAGAGGGTATTATCCCAATGATCTTTAAACAAAAATATTAAAGTTTATCAGTATCCATAGCCTGGGAAAAAAATTAAAGAATTTATACATTACATTTCTGATACTAATAAAGTCCAAAGAAGGATTTTTTTTATTAATATATAATGTTTATTATTTGCTTCAGGGGTACAGGTCTGTGAATCATCAGTCTTACACAATTCACAGCACCCACCATAGCACATACCCTCCCCAATGTCCATAACTCAGCCACCCTATCCCTCCCACCCCCACCCCCAGCAACCCTCAGTTTGTTTCCTGAGATTAAGAGTCTCTTACTTACAGTTTGTCTCCCTCCCCAGTCCCATCTTGTTTCATTTTTTTCTCTCCCTTCCCCCCATAAACCCCTCCCAGCCCTGCCTCTCAAATTCCTCGTTTCAGAGAGATTATATGATAATTGGCTTTCTCTGATTGACTTATTTTGCTTAGCAAAATACCCTCTAGTTCCATCCATGTCATTGCAAATGGCAAGATTTCAGTGGTTTTTTGATGGCTGCATAGTACTTCATTACATATATAAACCATATCTTGTTTATCCATTCATCTGTTGATGGACATCTAGGTTCTTTCCATAGTTTGACTATTGTGGACATTGCTGCTATAAACATTCGGGTGCACGTGCCCCTTCGGATCACTACATTTGTATATTTAGGGTAAATACCCAGTAGTGCAATTGCTGGGTCACAGAGTAGCTCCATTTTCAACTTTTTGAGGAACCTTCATACTGTTTTGCAGAGTGGCTGCATCAGCTTGCATTCCCACCAACAGTGTAGGAGGGTTCCCCTTTCTCCACATCCTCGTCAACATCTGTCATTTACTAGCTTGTTAAATATAGCCATTCTGGCTGGTGTGAGGTAGTATCTCATTGAGGTTTTGATTTGTATTTCCCTGATGCAGAGTGATGTTGAGCACTTTTTCATGTGTCTGTTGGCCATTTGGATGTATTAAAGAATGGATTTTTTTTTTAAAGATTTTATTTATTTATTTGACAGAGAGAGATCACAAGTAGATGGAGAGGCAGGCAGAGAGAGAGAGAGAGAGAGAAGCAGGCTCCTTGCTGAGCAGAGAGCCCGATGTGGGACTCGATCCCAGGACCCTGACATCATGACCTGAGCCGAAGGCAGCAACATAACCCACTGAGCCACCCAGGCGCCCAAGAATGGATTTTTTTAAAAAGATCTTATGCCTTGACTATAAGTACTTATGCAATATAACAAAAGATTAACAAATTTTACTCATAGAAAAATTATACAAAACACCGTGATATATTCCACAGGTATTAAGTTCTGACAACTAAAAATTACCAAAATAAAGACAAGACTTACTAACAGAATCTAAATGGGTTTTGGGTATGAAACTGATGATAACTAAAAGTTCTGCTATTTCAGACTAACTTTCCAAATAGGAATATAAAGAGCATAGAAATTAGAGTTCTCAAAGTTGTATCAAGATGAATAACTGCTTGATAATTAAAGGTAATTTTAAATTTACAGGAAAATTTTGTTGAACAAATGAATGAAATTGCCAACCATAGAAGAGTATATCTAGCACATAGTAGATGCTCAATAAATGTACACTGAATGAGTTAAGACTAAGTTTGTTCTTGAAAAATAAGACCAAGAAAATTTTAAACACTTAAAAAACATACTATTGGCTACTTACAGGCACAGGTGTTTGAAATGAGGACAGGAAAACTTAGTTCAAATCAAATAAAGATATAAAAATACAAAGGATAACTCTAGTCAATAAACAATGTGAAATGTTCATCTTGTCTTAATCTACAATTAATGATATTCTACATTGTAATGTCTTCAGACAGGAACCAAATGGAATTTGTAGACTCTCAAAATTTAGTTTAAAATGTGAGAAATGTAAATGAGAAAATCATGTCTGATTTTCCCCTTCATTCACTGCATAGATATGTACTGAACATTTACAATAGCAAGTGCTTATTCCTTTCCTTCTTTAGGTCCAGCAGATGGAATAAGCCAAAGACTAATTAGCCAAGCTTGCATAAAAGGAAAGTTTCTATATGTCAGTGTCATAACTCATTTTCCATTTAATTCCTATTGTTCCATATACAATATATATTTAAATATCCAGCTCAGCTTTCTATATTTCTTCTACAAATAAAACCATTTTTATCATTTTTACAACAGTACATTAAACTATACCTTAATTTTTTTCTCTTGCATTGACTTATGGATGCGTTCTCTTAGGGCTTTCACTGATGAATTATTCACTTGTGTGGGAGATCTAAGTCCAAAAAAAACAAAAATGTATAAACAAAAGTAGCTTTTTAACTCGTTTTTGCCCCTCCCTTATCCAAAAGCAGTAATAAAATAAAAAGACAACTAAATCTAGTTGTTTATAATACTGCGTAAGTGTCAGTATTATTACTGAGAGTTCTAAATATTAATAATTTGCTGTTAATTAATTCCATTACTACATATTTGAGTTTCTAATATATGTAAGGCACTGTGTAAGATATTATGAAGGATAGAAAGTAGATTCACTCACTGCCCTGAATTCAGGCATCCTAAAGCCTAAGGAAATAAGATATCCACACAACTAAAATTTAAAATAAAAAAGGACAAGTGCTGTAGCAGGGGAATTCAAGAGAAAAATACCGTTCAGAAATAGGACGGTCAAAGAAGGCACAATGGAGAAAGAAACACCAGAGCTTTGGAGCCAGACAACCCTGGATTCCTCAATAAATTCCTTTCTGGCTTAACAGAGCCAGAGTCATAACCTCTTTAACTCAAAAGACTGTTATATAAGAATAAAGAAGAGTCTATTCTAAGAAACACTAGTTTGTAACCTTACATTGACTTATATTCATAAACCACACTGTCCTTAATTTTATCATTTCAATGCAGACCATGAAAAAATTCACTTTACCATGAATTGGCATTTGTCTGCACAATGACAACTGCAAATGCTAAGGTAATTGTAAACAACTGAAATATGTTTGGCCATATGGTTGAGAAAAATACCTCTTTAAAATGGATGTAGGGATTGATTTTTTTAATAAAGTTCTATAAACACAAAATAACTTTCTTTTTAAAAAATGGTAGAACTGGGCCCCTGGGTGGCTCAGTGGGTTAAAGCCTCTGCCTTCGGCTCAGGTCATGATCCCAGGGTCCTGAGATCAAGCCCCTCATCAGGCTCTCTGCTCGGCGGGGAGCCTGCTTCTCCCTCTCTCTCTCTCTGCCTGCCTCTCTGCCTACTTGTGATCTCTGTCTGTCCAAAAAAAAAAAAAAAAAAAAAAGGTAGAATTGAATCTGAGAGAAAATTTAATCATTTATGTTTTTACCTAAAAAGCAAAACTTGTTGAACAGAAGTGAGGTAAAAGAAGAAAACACAAAGGTTCATTTTCTTTCCACTCTTTTCATAAAACATTGATAAAATACATTTTCATTGTTAGGAAAATATTTGAACACTTTTGAGGAACAAAATGGGTGAATTTTATCATGCCCAAATATAAAAGGATAATCATTAAAACCTGGTGAAGAGATTTATTTATTTATTTATTAAAGATTTTATTTATTTATTTGACAGATCGCAAGTAGGCAGAGAGGCAGGCAGAGAGAGGGGGAGTCAGGCTCCCTGCTGAGTAGACAGCCCGATGCGGGGCTCGATCCCAGGACCCTGGCATCATAGTCTGAGCCGAAGGCAGAAGCTTTACCCACTGAGCCACCCAGGTGCCCCTGGTGAAGAGATTTAAATATTGGAGGACAACACTGAATGACAGACCATTGCAAGTTTTCTCTTTAAACAGAAGAGAAAAATAGAAGAGAGCAAATAAGTAGGATGACTTTGTAAAGTTTCTCCACAATGTACTAAATAAAATTTAAATTGTTTTAAAATTTTACGTTTCTATAAACAAATGTTCATTAATGCAAATACCATGAACCTCTTCAATGTTTGACCTAGCTCTTATTAAAACTGGAGTGTATCAATATCTTGCACAGAATACCAAAACTACTCTGTATTTTTCTCCATAAGAGGAAGAATTAAGAGATGTCAATTTCAGTGTAAGTCTGGTGTACACACTCTCTCCTGTTCTCATGCAGAGAAGCACAATACATGGAGGATGGACCTTAATTTTTGGAGCAAGAAACTTTTGCTACTTGCTAACTGTACTCTCTTAGGCAAATTACTTAATCTCTGTCTTTCAAGTGTCCAAGTTTCAACTTATGACATGGGGCTATTACTGACAGATGTTGTCATGAGGGCTGAGGTAATATAATTGAAAGCAGTCACCAAAATTGTTGACATACACAGCAAAGGAAATAAATATTTCCAAGCAAAAACAAATGCAAAAAAATAAAAACAAAAATACCTGTCATATTCTCACAAAAGACTGTTTTTATAAAAACTTCCTCATATCCAAATATTCAATCTCCCTTTAAGCTTTTGTTTTCTTTCTTCACACTTTTCCATAGTCTCCAAGTTTCTTCTTAATCAATGAGATGTTTTTTTTATTCCCTTTGTAGACTAGAGTTAACATTTACATACATATCACTTCTACATTACTTACCTAAAAAGTGTAAGAATAGAAATTCCATTATGATGAATTGTGTTTTCATCATCATATAAAAGCTCTGCTTTGTTTTTGGTAGGCATACTGGCTGCTTCTTCGTCCAAAAGAACTAGTAAAGTTTTCACAGTATCTCTGCCACAATATGCAGTCCCATGGTTTATGGCATAAGATTTTGGCTAGAACAAAAAAAATACTATTAAGTAAATGTAACAATCACCAAAGTTGGGGTAATCAGCTATTGTTTTCTATTTCTTGTGCCACTGTTCTCCTTCTGTTGTTTAACTTATAAAAAATCAGCCATGGGAAATGGCTTTAAAGCATGTAATATTTCTTCCTCAAGTCATACTAAAACCAATCTTATCACCTTCCCAAAGAACAAAAAAAAAAAAAAAAAGGGAGAGAGAGAGAGAGAGAGAATAGTATCATCACGGGAAGATATTGGTTCTGGTTAAAATAACATACAGCTTTAAGTCAGAAAATCTAGTAACTATCTAGTTATGCGTCCCTAGCTAGCTTCATGACCTAGCCTCCCTGTGTTATCTTTTTCTTTGTTATACCAAAGTGAGATGGGGTTCTGTGAATACCAACCTCACAGATGGTTGTAAAGATCTATTCAAATGTGGGGCACCTGGATGGCTCAGTTGGTTAGGCTTTGGCTTGGGTTATGATCCCAGGGTCCTGGGAATTGAGCCCCACAGGCTCCCAGGGTCCTGGGATTGAGCCCCACAGGCTCCCTGCTCTGCAGGAAGCCTGCCTCTTCCTCTCCAGCTGCCTCTCTCCCAGTTCATGCTCTCTCTCCCCTTCTCTCTCTAATAAATAAATAAAATCTTTTTTAAAAATCTATTCAAATGCAAAAATTAAAAACAAGTTGATATTCATTTATTCAGTAATCCATTGATAAGTACATACCAAATCCTAAGCAAAGTGTCTGAAGCTAAGACTACAAAAAAAAACACCACTGCCTCAAGTAAACCATAGTCTCCTTGATAAAATAAGTAAGTAACCAACAACTGCATTGTAAAGTACTAAGTGCTATTTCCAACAGAATGTATACATGGTACAATAGGAGCACACAAAGGTACTGATCAATTTACTCTGGAATCAAGGATGGCTTCAGGGAGGAGGAGACACAAAGGGGTGGGAGGGAACACGGCACTTTTAAGGACCAGGTTAACATGATATGGCTGAAGAACAGGGTAAGTTGTTATATGAGATGAATCTGGGAAAGCTCTATAAATCTGGCAAAGAAATTGTAAATCAATCTGTTAAAGGAGTTAAAATCTTTTCCTTTATTAATCAAGGACATAAATGATCCTATTTAGATTATAAAAAAATGACAACAATGCATAAAATATATTCCAGGGTAAGAATGTTATTAAGTCTGGAAACAAGACCACAAATTAAGAGATTGTAGTAGCCCAGGTTGGAAAAGAAGAAGGTAGTCACAGTGAACTAAAATAGTAGCAGTGCAGATAAAGAAAAAGCTGGTTAAGAGCAGAGCCACAAAAACTTAATGACCAGACAGAATATGGGAAAATAGATGATAATATAATATTATATGCAGACACATGTAAGCACAAACTCTGAAAATATTTCTGGCTGGGTTTGATACCAACTTACCTGTAGTTACATAGCTTATAATTCTGAGAAAGTTCCTTAACCTCACTGTGCTTCAGTTAAATCACTAGTAAAAAACGGGTAATGATAGAATGATAGTACACCCATACAATATGTTAGACATTGTGCCTAAGTATCAAAGTTGCCCTTTCTGGAACATCTGTTGTAACTGTACCATTTTCCTCAGCTTTTATCAATATGGTCTTGGGGCCTCCTTTCTCTACTGGGCTTGACCAAACTGTACTGTAGAGCTACACTGGAATTTTAACAAACTGCTTATCACAATAATGACTCTTATCACATTATATGTGCTTATCACAATAGTAATGACTATGTGCTTAATATATATTTTTTCATCAGCACCAAAGAAACAGTCCATATTGTTTAATATTAACTTACTGAGAATTATTAGATAGTATTTTTCCCTCAAAGATTTCTGATTTGGTTGAAAACGTAAAATTAAGAACCAGGTTGTCTGTATCTTTATTTCTTGTGACAGAAAACGGCAGAGACTGGTGCTCTTAATTACCTAAGCTATGACAGTTTCTGATTTAGACTTATAGTAATAACCTGGTTGTCATTTGAGCCAAGCTAGTCACAGGAAGCATTAACACACATGAAACATATGGGGCAACAACCCAGAATCTCAGGGCGCCTGGGTGGCTCAGTGGGTTAAACAACCCGGGATCTCCCCTATGTCCTACCTTCCAATTAATCTGAAAACATGCATTGTTACAGAAAAATAACTAAAAATGGCCCCACATGACTATGAAAATAGATGAACAGTCAGATAATAATAAATAAAATAGATGTATAATAATAATAGATGAATAATAAAACATAAGCAAAAGTCTTTCTTCATACACTGATTATCACAATCACACCTAAGGAAAAGGGGCTTTTGTTCCTTGAATTAAACTGTAACAAATGGATTGTCACACATACCCCCAAATTCCTTTTTAGAGCTAAAAAAGATGGTAGCCAATTTCTCCTATAATACTATAGTTATTATACTATACAAGTTTGCACCAAAAAATGACAAGAGGTAAACATTCTGGGAATATATGGTTAAAAGATTTCTAAGTATAGTAAAAAATCCTGATGTTTGCTGTAGACTGGTAATAGAGGTAGAAAACACCACATCATAAAGATGAAAAAATTCTATTAAATAAAAATAAACTGATTAGAAACCATTTCTGTTATTCTACAGAGTACCTAGGACTGGGGCCAGAACCACAGAAACCTTGCTTTTATTTTATATTTGAATAAATGGCAAAATAATGGTTTCATAAGAATAATTATTGAAAAATATTATAAGACATTTTAATATCCATCAAGAATTATAAACTTCTAGTGCTACAAGGGATACTGAAGATTATCCAACATGCTGCTTTAACAAATAGAGACAATATGGCCCAAAGATGTTATGATTTATTTCAAGTCGAACATAATCCTACATAATCCTATTGAGAAACTTTAAATTTTCAATATCTCAGAACACAGGAAAAACATTCTTCTGACTTAAGTAGCAATAGTAAAACATTTTTATAACAAGTAGAAGCGATAATGTTTTGTATAGAAGGATAATGAAAAATAAAAAGCTCATTACCCGTGCAGGACTAATGTCAGTGGTACTAACAACTACATCTCCTTGTTGAGAATTGATAATATTTTTAATCCTCAAATCCAAATCCTGAGTGACTTCCTCTACTGCTTTACAAAAAGGATCCCTGCTGTTTTGGCCTTTAATCAGCTGCATCTTTATCACGGAGAGTATCCGACCCCCTGCAATGCTGAAAATAGAAATAAGATCCCCTTTATAATAGTATTAGAAATGACAATATGCTTATAAGCTTGAAAATAAACTTCTCAAAGTTAATCAACACTTCAAAAAAATATGACTTTGATCTTACAAATCAAACTAACACATTTAAAAAAAGGATAAGAACCATGAGCAACAAAATTAAAAAGTTTTTCTTAAAGCAAGTCATTTCAACAAAGTTACTTCGTCCCTGATTTGAAAGCTGATAGGAAATATTTTAGTTATAGATGATATATAGTAAGTTTCAGGTACAGTTATACACACATAATATACTTAAAATATGTACCTTTAGATACAAGGAAACAGAAACCCTATCTCTCATTGAATACCTAGAATCCCACATTACTTTAATCTTAAAATCATTTCAATAAGTATTAATATCCTTAAATCACAGATGAGAAAATTGAGTCTCAAAAAGGTTAAATAGCTTGTCCAAGAACACAGTGTTCTGGGCTGGGAAGGAGGTGGTGAGGACTGACCTGTAAACATGACATTGCCTTCTAATATGAGAACTGTTATTATATGGAAGGGGAAATTAAGGTAGTTAATATTGATCTAAAGCAAATCAAAGACTAGACCAACTATGTCCAACAGACTCAGGTTTTAAAAAACCTGAAATCAATTATTTCTTTATATTAAACCTGAACCTGAATGAATTTAGGTTGCAGTTCCTGCTCTAGAAGTCTGACCTAAAAAATGTGAGAAATATATAGGAAGAAGGAGTTTGATCTATTGCAAGGAAGAAATTAGAGGTGTCCAACAATAGAAAAGGGCTCTTTTTTTAAAATCAGGAGATCTCCATCCCTAGAGGTATCCCTGGAAAGGCTATGCAGTGCTGAATGAGAAGGTGGTATGGCCTAGCCATAAAGTCAGACTGCCTAAGCACAAAATAACAGTCTCCTCCCCCCACCTCTCCCATCTTTTATGTTGAGTATGCTATTTACCTTTCTGTGACTTATATACTAACATATAGGAAATTATGAAGTACAGTTTCTATCTGCACTGCCCTATTGCCAGGTTCTATGTTTTCAGGAAGAAGACAGGTTTTCTAACATTGCAAATATGATTGTTGACATTCAAATACCTGTTCCAATGTATGACTAGACCAGTGTTTCCCAAATTTGCCTGATTATCAGAATCATATTCAGCATTTGTTTAAAATATCAACTCTGATTCCACCCTATTGAATCACAAACTGTAGAGAAGGGTACTGAACAGTTGCACTGTTTTAAAAATACTGCAGGTGATTCTGACAGCTACATAAGCTGGAAAAACATTTAATTAAAAAAGAGGGAAAAAAAGAAAAGGAAAAGGAAGGGGAAAAGAAAAGAAATGAAACTTAAGGAGACTCCCGTATGTTATCAATTCTAAAAACAGCTGCCTTAGCCTTTCCTAACTCCTATTAAATTCTCAGCTGACCAACCTTGAACCATAGGTAGGGATATCTCTAAGCCTCTATTCAGCAGGAAGAAGCTACAGAAAATGAGACCTTCAGCCTTCAACAACCTTAAAGATTTAAGGGTCAACGTTGTTCAGGGGGGAAAATGATGAGGTAAATAGAGGCAAGAGAAATTAAATTAAATCTCCTTACAGTTAGCAGCCCTCTGATACCTAAAACATGCAGAGTGTGACCTTCCTCAAGGTACTCACGCCACCTTAGTACCTTAACTAAAAGTTTTATTAAAGACTAAAAGTAACCTTATCTTACCAGCAGTTAGTCCCCTTAAAGTCCTGAAAGGCTTGCTTTCAAATTCCTTAGAGATTTGCACTATCCATAACCACCACTAATTAAAAAATGTATAATCATTCACTCCTCACAATCCCAGGGCAGTTCTTTCTGCCCACGGTTCCTGTCCCGATGCTATAATAAAATCACCTTTTTGCACTAAAACAAATTAAAAAGATTAAAAAGAAATTAAAGAAAGAGAAGAAAAAGCTCCTTGAGAAAGTAACAATATATTTACCAATCTTTTTTTTTTTTTTTAAAGATTTTATTTATTTATTTGTCAGAGACAGAGGGAGAGTGAGCGAGCGAGCACAGGCAGACAGAGAGGCAGGCAGAGGCAGAGGGAGAAGCAGGCTCCCTGCCGAGCAAGGAGCCCGATGTGGGACTCGATCCCAGGACGCTGCGATCATGACCTGAGCCGAAGGCAGCCGCTCAACCGAGCCACCCAGGCGTCCCTATATTTACCAATCTTTATACTACCAGTTTATACTTAGCACAGAAGAAATGATTGCTACATTTGTTAAATAAATGACCACTATCACACCCAAAAATCTAAAGTTTTTAACAGTAAGACAAAGATACATATTTTACAATTACTATATTATTATTTGCAATACAAAAGTACCTAGGGCCTTTCCACAAATACTCTGGGGGAATATCTCACCAGATTTGGCAGCAATAGGGGGAAATCTCTAATCTCTCCCCAAAAAAAGGAAAAAACAAGAACTAGAGTGGAAAGTTGGGAGCTGTTAAGTGGGAGGCAAACAGAATGAATGGATTTTCCTGAAGACAAAAATCTCTGATAGCACTTTGATCTGGATGGGAGAGGGCAAGTAGAGAATTTCACCTTGAGTCTGAACTTTCTGAGGGGAAGGAATTCCTATGACTTTTATTAGATTTATTTTATGTATTTTATATTCTTGAAGCTCTTTTTTTTTTTAATTTCTATTTGGTGATAGCAAAGAAATACGATTGCTTGTTGTTTATTGACCTTGTGTCCAACAACACTGTTAAACACTACTGTTAATATTAATAATTTGCCTTTATATTCCGGGAGTTTTCTACATATACAATCATATTATCATCAAACAGAACTTTATTTCTTCCTTTTCAATTGTGGTATCTCCTGTTTTTTTCTTGCCTTATTACATCTGATATCACGCAGAAAAGAAATGATAAGATCAAACACTCTTATTCTCAATCTTAAATAGAATGATAAAACACTTTAACACCAAATGTAGAAACCCTTTATCAGGTTAAGCCCTTATTCTTGGCTCATTTTACATAGAGTGGGCCGCCCTATGGAGTGGGTATATTCAATAGACTTCTCACGTTAGACAGTCCCTAGGCTTTGCCTTTGCACTCTCAGACTTAGTGACTCTAAGAACAGACCTTCCAAATCACCAAATACTCTCAAAATAAAAGCTCACTTCCCTTCTTGCCTTCCCTCTCTGGCTTTCTTCCCTCTCCTAGTTTTTGGCCTATATTTTCATTACATATGCCTACTCATCAATGCATTTAAGAAGTATTTTAAAACTATGCTATCCAGTATTATTAACTATTTGCAGTGTAAGGGTCAACCAGGGGACCTAATCTGCCATATATTGGTAATCAGAAGTCTGAGTAAACTCTTAAGAATTCATATATATGTATATATATACAGACATTTTCTTTTTCTATGTTTTTTTCCCTTAATTTTCAAGGGAAAAAATTTTCAAGGGAATTCTTATACATATATATATATATATATATATTTAAATATATTTATATATATTTTATATATATAAAAAAACAGAAAAAGAAAATGCATATATATATATGCATATTTGCATATATATATTTCAATCAAATTTCAATCAAAAGCACAGAAAGTAATTGGATGAAATGAAGCCAAAATGAAAACATGATACTATAAACTTTATCTGCAAAGTAATCTAATGGAAGAGTTTTGGAAAAGACTAAAAAGGATAATAAAATATGGAAGAGTGTTATAATGCCAATTGCAAGAACAAAAAAATGCTTTCAATGATATTAGGTAAAAGTCACCTTTGCCTCCTTTTCTCATTCCTTCTATAAGTACAAATATACTAAATATTAAAGATGATATGATTCCCTGAATGAATTATATTAGGAAAAAATATGTAAGATTTGTGTTTCAGATATTTGCCAAACTCAACATTTTGACCCTTGGAAAAAAACCTCAAACACCAGTACAATGACTAGTGTAATCCCATACATTAACTACTAAAGTCAAATATTAGCTCTTCAAATATCTGCTCAGCAACATGGTGGCATAATCCAGACTCCTGCTTCTAGAACCTGGAATCTCTTAAGTTTTAACTCAAATGATACTAGGACATTTGTGCTAGGCACTGGGATACGATGAATAAAATATTTTTCTTTAAGAGGTTACAACTGATCACGTGAGTAAGTGAGATACTGAAGGTATAGAGGAAGTTTGAGTGGGTGGGTAAGGGAAAAGGGGGTTATTCAGGAAGCATCTCAGAAGATAAATTATGAGTACTCTGGATCAACATTAATGGAAGACTTTAGGTGAAAAAGAGGTAAACAGCAGCTCCGGACTACCAAATGTATCACAGTAGAGCCCTGGGGCAGAAAGAGAGAAATAAAGCTAGTGAGGAAAAACATAATTAAATCCCAAGCCTGGGGGCACCTGGGTGGTGCAGTTGGTTAAGCATCTGCCCTTGGCTCAGATCATGATCCCAGGGTCCTTGGATCCAGCCCCCCCATCAAGCTCGCACTCAGTGGGGAGTCTGCTTCTCCTTCTCCCTCTGCAGCTCCCCCTGCTTGTGCTCTCTCTCTTTCTGTCGGATAAATAAATAAAATCTTTTTAAAAAATCTCTAAGTTTGTATTAAAGTGTAGTGACTGAAAGAGAGCAATAAGCAATAATACAAATGATTGGTAATACTTCTGTGTAATTACTGAATATCTTTATTATATGGATTGGCTTTCCCCTACCATCTTCAAGAATTAGATAACCATTTGCTAAAACATATCTTGAAAAATTAAGTATGAACAAGAACCATATGATACTCTCAATAGATGCCGAAAAAGCGTTTGACAAAGTACAGCATCCCTTCCTGATCAAAATTCTTCAAAGTGTAAGGATAGAGGGCACATACCTCAATATTATCAAAGCCATCTATGAAAAACCCACCACAAATATCATTCTCAATGGAGAAAAACTGAAAGCTTTTCCACTAAGGTCAGGAACAGGGCAGGG